ACTGTGAATTCGTTTACGAATTCTAGTATGCAACTTTGAATTGATGGGAAACATCTTATGTTTAGATATTTCATTAACTAGTTAGACGTCCCTAGAAGCATTTAATTGAATGTTGTCTTTAAGCCTCATTGTGTCTTCTAGTTGCGAAGTTTTTATGAATTATGTTTCTACCTGACATATTTCTTCCCATAAGACTTTAATCAACAGAGACTGCGAGCCACACATCTCTTACTCAAATCAGAGTTTTCAGATTTTTGCATGGTCATTTATATTAGAAGGGTGCACTTTGATCTTTTGTTAGATAAATCTTTTCAAAGTTACTTGAATTGGATTACACTATTCAATCAAGGATTTTTTTCGTATCACTTCACTTATATTAAGTTGCAAATACGTTTCGAAACAAACCACCCTTTTGGCCTACGAAAAGAAGCCCTTCGTAACTTCTTCACATGTTGATGATCATAATTCAACCGCAAACACTTCTTAGACTCTCTTGACTATGAAGGAAGAGAATCTTTGTGACAACCCGACCCTTTTTCTAGTTTACGTTAATTAATTTCTGTTAATAAAATTTTTATTTTATTTGGGTTCCGTCAGCTTCCTTCGGTTTGGAAAATCATTTAATTATATATTTTGAGTTCAATATTCTAGTCGGAACCAAAACCACACGAAATTTCGGGAATTCCTTCGAACAAGACCGTGTTCACGGCATGACTTGGGTTCACGGTTGTACACCCGTGTATGGCCGTACACCCGTTTACGGCCAGGGTTGGGTGGACCCCACCACCAACCACAAAAACCCCTATATATATGAGACCCTACCCTTCATTTACACTCTTCTGGCCGAACACCCACTCATTCTCTCTCTAGACTTGTGACCGTACACCCCTAAAAGCACCTTTATTCCTCCGGAAAACATCGAAAAACACCATTGGGGATCATTTCGGAGCATCTAGAGCTCGTATGTCGTCGAAATCAGCATCTTTGTTCTTGAGTGTACAACCGTACACCTTCAAGTTCATTGACCGCACACTAGTCTACAACCTTACCCCTTCAAAGGCCGTACACCACTCAAGAGTTGGTTCACGTCCGTACACCTGTATACGGCCGTACACCTGTCCATGGCCGTACACCCTTGTTCACTGCCGTACACACACTTCCTAATTGGTGCTTTAGACTGAAAGTTCACTTTCCTCGATTCAAGCAAGTCCCGGTAACATTCCTTAACCGAAAGCAAGTGTTTATGTAACACTTTATCTAACAAAATCGCTAATTTAGATACATATATGTATTTAATTGTTATTAGGATTCCGTTAAGTGCCACAGTACAACTCGAGGGTTGTACACGACCAACAGTGAGTTCCTACCCCTACGCTTTTACGATTTTTAATGTTTTCAGGGGGGAATACAAGCCAAACACAAATGATTTTAACAAGTTTTAAACTTATTAATACAGTCAAACGATTTCCACTTTTTATAAAATATTTAGATATTTTATCCCTTTTGTACTATGTTGAGCATAAGGGACACTTTTATTTCTGGAAACACAATTTCATAGTTTTTTCAGAATAATTTACAAACCAAGTACATATCATTTCAAGTAAACTATAATAGGTATAGTTTGGGGTTTTCAATACACAGCTTTTACGAATTCAGAGTTATACACTGCTAAACATATAAACTATGATAGATTTAGTTTATGATATACATTACTACATGAGTACAATATTTAATAATTATTTAAGTATAATTATTTCTTTAAGCAGTATACAACGGATCCAAATACAAGAGAACACTACAAAAATTACATGTAAACTAGTTAATACAGAATTGTGAGACTCTACTTCAAAACTGTACTCTTAGGTGTACTGAATTAAATCCTATCATAGTATAACCAGAGTCTCCTGGAGGGAGAGCGTGAGATTTGTGAATACATCTATTCGGGACTGATAATCCCACACCTAAACTGCTAGCTACAGTTAGGAAGGCTTGCCTGAGGAACGTTGAAAAGGTCACTAGGTCATATCAAGCATGGTTATACGACTCACAATAAGTATAAACTAACCTATGTTTACGAGATTATCAGTCCCGAATAGATGTTAATTAATAGAACTATTATACCTTTGTTTTATTTTAATTAATAGAACTATTATTTTAATTAATAGAACTATTATACCTTAGTTTTATTTTAATTAATAGAACTATTAATAGAACGTTGAAAAGGTCACTAGGTCATTCTTCATTAGTTTTATTTTAATTAATAGAACTATTATACCTTACATTGGGGAATTTCAGAGATACAATACACAGCAAATAAATCACAAGGTTGATCTTGATGCAGTAACGGGCGCTCCCGAACCAACGAAGGCAAGTGGTGCGAAGAAGAAGTTTTGGAACAAACGAAAGGGGCAGTCTTCGCAGGAGTCCTCTAAGAAACAGCAAATAGTGGCGGTCTACCCTGCTACAACTCCTACTGCTGCTCCAGCCACTCAAGCACCTGCCAGTAGGTATGATGGTACCCTTCCTTGGTGCGACAAGTGCAGATTGCATCATCACGGGCCCTGCCGTGATTTGCTATGTAACAAATATGGAAGGAAGGGGCACATGACTCGATTCTGCAAGGCACCAGCTCAACCGACCAACCAGACTACTGAAGCAGGCATGGGTCAAGCCTGTTATGGCTGTGGAGAGGTTGGGCACTTCAGGAGAAATTGCTCCAAGGCAACAACAACTGGTAACATTGGGAGAGTGATGGCTATGGGCAAGGAGGAGGCAGTTGCTGATCCCACCGTTGTTACGGGTACGTTCCTCCTCGACAACTCTTATACATGCATTCTTTTCGATTATGGTGCGGAGAGAAGTTTTGTTAGTCATGCATTTAAACATCTACTCAATTGCAAATCCCAACCTTTAACCGAAACATTTACCGTCGAGATGGCTAACGAAAAGAAAGAGAGCACTAACGACATATTCATAGGCTGTACCCTTACCCTAAACGTTCATTCCTTCCCCATCGATCTTATGCCAATTTCTATAAAAACCTTTGATGTTATCATTGGTATGGGTTGGTTGAGCCCCAATCGTGCCGATATCCTTCATTACGAAAAAGCCATCCGTCTTAACCTGCCCTCGGGCGAAACTCTCATAGTTTATGGCGATAAACTCGGCTCAAATCTTCGCATCATTTCGTGCATCAAAGCTCAGAAGTATCTGCGAAAGGAGTGCCTTGCATTCCTAGCCCATGTTGTTGACGAAAAGCAAAAAGTTAAAGACCTCGAGAGCATCCCCGAAGTCTGCAACATTCCTGATGTATTCCCTGAAGATCTTCCAAGAATCCCTCCCGTGCATCAAGTCGAGTTCCGTATCGACTTAATCCCCGGAGCTACTCCTGTAGCTAAGTCCCCATACCGTTTAGCGCCGTCAGAAATGAAAGAGCTATCCAGCCAGCTCTATGAGCTGCTCAGCAAAGGATTCATAAGACCGAGTTCCTCACCCTGGGGAGCCCCGATCTTATTCGTGATTCTCTTTTATTCTTTGGAACACATTTGCACTAGAATCCTCGAGGTTATGAGTGATACCAACTTGTGCCAAGATTCTACAAAGTCTAGTTTATGATTCTAGTCACAATTTACAAGATTAGATGAAACTATTCTTTAGCTTTGTTGGGTGTCGAGTTACTTATCTTCCAGAGACAATTCTGGTCATAATTCCAACGGATACTATTTCAATTTATGAAAAATTAAAGGGTTAATTAGTGATTGAGAAACAGCTTCAAATCTAATTCGCAAGTTTTAATATTTGAAAATTCAAATTTCCATCCATGGTGCGTATTTTAAGGGGATGTGATGTCATCAACATATATCATGAGACAAAAATTTTCTATTGCAATGTTGATGAGCTGGCAGACGCTCATTGGTCCTTTTCTACATGATTATTGGCATGGGAATTTTTGCTGACGTATGAAGAGATGAGTATTAAATGCATGAACGGAGGTTTTATCTAACCATTTATGCTAAAAGGTTCAAAATCAAATAAACTGCTTGGATTTCCAACAATATATAAACTCAAAGCTTTCTACATTTTTCTCTTTATTCTTTAAGAACATTCAAAGCCATTTGAAATATTCTATGATTATAAATGATTTTCAATGTTTCTTACTCTTTATTTCTTCAAATGGCATTCTCTGAACATGTTTCATTCATGGACCAATCTGCAATATCTATCATGATGAGTATCAATCCTAATCAGAAAATGATAGCCGATCTCGATGCTTTGAAGTAAAACACAGTTGTTTGACCTTTGATCGAATTTCTTAATCATTAAAAATAAAAATTTGAGAATTTCCGATCTCTGCCTTATCAATGGCTTTTTCGACTGCAATATATAAAAAGAAGCTAAAAGTGATGAATTTTGAAATTCATGGTCATAAAACCTCCATTACTAAAGCTAATTTTTGTAATATTTTAGGGTTAACAACTGTGGAAGATTCAGTGAATCCTGATTTGGTTACTTCAACAAGAATAATTAGGGCATGTCATCAAATAGGGTATAATTCAGATTTAACTGTCCTTTCCAAATTCTAGACGTTTGCATTACCACCAATTTGGAATGCTTTGTTTACGATTTTATTCAAATTCTTTTCGGAGAGGGTGACTAGATCAGATAGTGCTTGTAGGGTATTTCACACTTTACATTATGGTTTATTTATTGGAGATAATGTTGAATTTGGTCAAATTCTTTGGAATCAATTTGTGCAAATTCCTAATTCTTAATAGAAGGGTTCAAAGATTTCTTGTGCTCCATATTGGTCGATTGTGGTGAGGCATGCCCTAAATCACTATAAGGTTCCTCAGATGACTGATGCAGTGATAGCAGAAATTTGAATGATGCAAACTCCTAAATTTGTTATATATGATTCAAAGAATTTTAGCTTTTTTGGATCAATTCCTGAGGTTATGCTTTCTAGGGTTCCTGTAGATAATGTTATTATTCAAGCATAAATGAAAATTCCTTCTTCTAGAAAAAGGTCGATTCCTCCTTCTCTCCAAGATACTCTTGATGTTGGTGATGTTCCTAAGCGATTCGGAATGAAATGGGAAGGCAAGGATACCGATGATCAAGTTTCCAAAAAGGTCAAGTCACAAAGAAAATCAAATTCAAAGAATTCAAAACCATCAGTTATTGATGAAGATTCAGAAGAACGTACTCAAAGTGATATTTGTGTGGAGGATATTCAGAATAAAGAGGATACTACGAACACCTCGTGGCTTCAACCAAACGTTTTGAAGCCGATTGCCACCTTTGAAATAGGAAAGATATCTACTCCACCTTCTTCTTCGCAAGTTATTCCAACAGGAGCTACGACTCCGACTTAGTCAGATATTTTTAGGATCTTCCTGAATGATGTTATTGAGAATCTTTTCCAAACACCACCAACATCTATTCCAACAACCACAATTTCGATTTAAACCATCACTATTCTGATTCCTACTACCATTTTGGAACCAAATTTCACAACTCAACCTCAAACTACTCAACCTCTTCCACCACCAATCTTTACTGATTTTCCAACAAATCTATCTGTTTCTCAACTATTAACCATCACTGAAACTCCTCAAAAAGAACCAGTTTCTAATGATGTTCCACCAAAAACTATTGTTCAATCATCACCTGTTTATGAACTGATTCCAACATATGTTCCTCTTGTACATGAAGAAACACATGTTTCTGATTCGGGGCATATTGCATCTCCTTCCGATTTAGATGTTTATTTTATGACTCTTGAAGATCCAGATGAAGAATTACTGGTTCTTTTAAATATTTTATGCCACCACCAACTGCTTCTTCTTGTTTGAAGATGCAAGTGAGGATTATAATGATCCTAATTCTCAAATGAGACATGGTGAGTATCGTATCTTGAACAAGAAATTAGATACTTTGCTTTGTTGTACTCGTACATTCTCAACCACAAATTTTGAGAATATGGTGACTACTTATCAATCAATCATGAAAGATCTGACTTCTACGAATGTGAAAACTTTTCAAGATTAATTAAGGAAGCCAATACAAAAGTTGATTCGGTTAAAACCAAAGTTGATTTAGTTATTATTGTTGTAAAAGACTTATCTGAGAAGGTTAATTATGTTTTGAATGACTTTCAAGAAAAATAAGACACAAATATTTCGGAGGTTGTCAATGAAATCAAGGGGTTTCGTGAAACTCTTAATACTGAGAAAGAATCTTTATATGGACTTTGTTTTAGGATTCAAAAAGACAATATTGATCATCATACTTCTGTTTTAAATTTGATTCTTTCGTTGCAAAAGAATTTGGAAGGTGAAAACAAACTTTTGGATAATATTGTTGAGAAGACACAAAATTTGAAAGTTCTTAAAGAAAAGTTGGATGTTGCTACAAGGGTTAATGAGAAAATGACTGAAGAGCTTTTGATGGTGAAAAGCATAAATTTTGAGATCAATCAGCGTTTGGTGAAGATTGTTGAAGAAAAAGACACTCCATATGTTTATTATATTTAACAAATCATGGATGCGAAACTTAATCTTGTTCTTACTAAAGGCAATCAATACATGGATGCTAAGCTCAATCCTATTCTCACCAAGCTTAATCAGCTCTCTAATGTTACGTGTAGTGGTGCTACTCCGCAACAAGGGGGAGGGGGAACTGAACATGTGAATGTCGAAGAGCCTATCGGTCCTGAAATTTCATCTTCAAAAATTCCAACTCCAACGGTCAATATTACAAATCCTTATCAGACAAGTAAAATGGAGAAGTCTGATGCTTCAAAGATAGTTATTGAAAAAACGAATTATGGAAGATAGATTAAAGGATTTCAAGGAAAAATAAAGCACTAGAAAGAAGGTTAGTGTAGCTTCTGGTTCAGGAAAAAGAAAAGTGAATGTGATTTCGGAAGACGATATGAATCATCTTCTCACTGAGGAAGAGATGAAAGCTCAAGATGTGAGAGACAAAGAGCTTGATGAGTTAAAAGCTCTTAAGGAAACTTTTGATCAATTAGATGCTGAAAAGCGAAATGCTGTTGAGAATGAAGCTTCAAAATGAGCACTACTTCCTGAATGGAATGTTGATAGCATTGAGAAAGAAGCTGTTAAAAAGATAAAACCTTTATACTTAGAGCCGCCAAAAACATTCTTTTCGGTGAAGAATAATCACGATTGTCAATTAGATTTCCCTATAACTTTAAAGCTTTTGTGTTTTGGTGTTTACATAAAGTTATAGATGTTCCTTTGGGAAATGCTCCAACGAATATGAAATTGTTCACCTTTTATGCAAAGTAGTCAAGACCAGAATTTAAAATTTGGAGTTTGAATTTTTTTTTTGAAGGTTGGGAAACCTTTTGAACCAAAAGGTTTTACGAACATAGCTTTTAAAGGGTACATAGGTGTTAATCATGAGTTTTTTGATTCCACACTTGCTGATTTTCCTCTGATGGGTCCATATGATTGGATACTTCCTCTCAACATTGTCGCCATAGATCCAATGAAACATGAGCCTATTTTTCAATTTATGAGAAGAATGATAAAGGGTTTTATTCAAGAAGTATCAGAGATGGATGTGGAGATTTTAAAAGTGTTGAACAGGAAATCGATTCTGGAACCCTTCCCACAACCTGGTGGATTGGAGAAGCTCAAGGTTGGATTTATTCAGAAGGAGCCATGGGGAGTGGTTTATAAAAAATCAAAGAATGGAGTTGAGTGAAATTGTATGATGTTCTTGAGAGATAAGTACTTCTATCCAACAACTTCACTCACCAATGTTCTTTCAAGAGATGAAGTTTGCAAGGTGAATAAATCAAGTGATGTGAAGGTGTTTGACGAGAAGAAGTGAAGACAACATTTAAAACTTGACACAAAGGGGGAAATTGTTAAATTTCAGATTTTATGTTGTGTCAAGTTTGTATGTGACTGTCTTCATAGTTTACTTTGTGTTGCTATAAAGTAATCACTTTCATATGCGAGATTAGTTGTTTTGTATTTCGCATATTTTTTGTGTTTCTTTGCTGCTGACTTTGGTGTATTCCTTGCTGAATCTCCTCTCAGGCATAATATATATATATATATATATATATATATATATATATATATATATATATATATATATATATATATATATATATATATATATATATATATATGAGACTTATTTAGTAGATAGAGTACCTTTTGCGTGAATAGTTCTCTACTCTTTCTACCAAATTGTTTGCTTACTCTCTAATGAAATCGTGATCTTATTCACATTCTTGTGTTGCTAATAATTCATTCATATCTTCATCATGTTATCATATTAGAATTTATTCATTCTAATTATTTTAACAGTAATGACAGTTAATCCAAATATGCCTCGTCAAATTATGTAAAATAAAACTCTTCACAATTAGTATCAAACATTTGTTGTAACGATGTAAGTGGGTAGGCTGAGATACATAAACACCTATATCTATAAGTAGCCAATGTAACCAAATAGTCACACAAGTAGCCATATCCATAACACGATATTGATCCTCTATAGAAGATCAAGAGACAACGTCATGTTTCTTACTTTTCCATGTGATAATTGAGCCCCCATGGAAAAATACATAATCTAGTAGTGGATTTTTGATCATTATGATAAACATCCCAATAACCATCACCATAGGCATGTATATCTAGAGAGGATGTTGAATGGAATAAGAGACTAGGAAATCGAGTGTCACGACAAACGACTCCATCGTGAAAGGTAGTAGGAACAACAACAAAATCGCTAACCACATTACTACATGAGCTATATCTAGGTGAAATAAATCCATCAATCTCGAAGAGGGCAAGCTAGTAGGTTTTCCAACATGGGTACAAATCTGGATATGGTAAAGAAAAGTGATGGAATATGGAGAATGTGTATAAACTTCATGAACGTGAACACAACATGCGCAAAGGATTGCTTCCTTTTTCCAAAAATTGACAAGAAGAACGACTCATTGGAAGGATTCAAGTGGAAAAGTTTCCTCAGTGTATATAGAGGGTTCAATCAAATACATATGGTCGAAGGGGACGAGGTAAAACAACTTCTCATATATATCAAGGAACATTTTGTTATAAAAAATCAACTTAAAGAACGTAGGTGCTACATACCAAAGGGCAGTGGATAAATTGTTCAAACAACAAATTGGACGAAATGTTGAAATATATGTTGAAGACATGGTAATAAAGAGATGAGATGACTACAACATCCTCGAACACATTAAAGAAACTTTAGACAACCTCTGACACGCAAATATGAAACTAAATTCAAGAAAGTTGCTAGGATACATCCTATCAAAATAAGGGATTTATGCAAGTGCGGAAAGAATAAAAGTGTTGGGACAATTAAGATTACAAACAACAATAAAAGTACAAGCCTTTACTAGAAACTAGCATCCCTGGGGTTTTTTTGGCAAAATCTACGGAAAATTCACTCCAATTTTACAAGATCTTAAAAGGTAAAATATACACTAAACATTTCGAATAGAAGGAGAATATATTACATGTGCTTCAAAACATCAAAGCAACATTAGCAACACTACCAACCTTGAAGAGCTTGATTCCAGGAGAGACACTTATAAAATATTTATCAGTAAAATCTGCCCCCATAAGCACAACCCTTGGATCATATTTCAGATTAATCGCATCCCCTTAAACTCCCTAATTACACTTATCATATATTTTTTTTCTTCATGCCCAGCTCCACATAGTAAGGTCTTCTTCCCCATGTTCTCCTATATTCCCGGTCCATGATCCCTTTCACCCTTATAACTTCACCCTTCTAATGATGTAGTTTTCCAATAGTTTCTTGGTGGTTCCTCTTCTTGCACACCCGATACCTTTATATACCACATCCCTTTCTTCAATTTTCATCGTGTTTGTTCTAGTAAGTACCTATTTATGGTTATTTAGCCATTGTTGTTCATTCCGTCGCCCACAGCTTCCTACAACACGACTTTATTCTTCAACCTCTTCCACATCGCCTTATGTACCTCATCTCTTTCATACGCTCTCTTTTCCTTACCCAACTTACTTTACAATATGCAAATCTCTAGACTTTTTCAAGCCTTTCCATAACCATGATGTAACATCCAAAAATATGGTCCCAAAATTTTCGATTTAATATTAGATAAAATAGTAGTTTTCCATATCATCTAAACATTTGAAATAAGCCAGTGTATCAATTGCCATAAATTAGAGTACAACATCATAACAAAATCCCAATGGTGTGTACGATGCAGTCATCCCGAGCTCTTCCCCTTAGAACCAGAGGTACCTGAAACATAAACTGAAAACCGTAAGCACAAAGCTTAGTGAGTTCCCCCAAAATACTGCATACC